GGCCTGATGAACTTCATCCCTGGGTCAGAGATGTGGGGCTGAACATTTTCCAGCACTTTATTTTTCTGTGGAAAATTTTCCATTTCTAAAAATTAAATGTTTCATAAAATTCATTAGTAACAATGAATGGATGCCAGTACAATAGTAGGCAAGCCTGACAGTTTCAAAGTTGTAATTAATGTTTTTCAGGTGATTATCCCTAGGAAGTGTGAGAGAGAGTACATGTATGTTTTATTGATTTGTAAACAGGAGGGTAAATACACTCTCATAATAATCCAAACCAAAAATCAAGTTATGAATTCACTTAATTGGCTGTGCAGATCAAATCAAACCTAAAGCATGGCATATCAAGCAGTTTTTTGGGTGTGCTAAAATTAGTATGTCAACAGTTTTCAGGGCCTTTGTTTTTTTTCCCTTAAATTTAAACAAACAATGTAAGGGAAGTACATGCTTTTGTGTATTGTCTTTACATTTTTTACAGGTACTCCAATAAAAATAATTTCTCTCCACTTAAAGCTTTGGATTTGTTTGTATATAACATTTAAACCACATTAAGTGTGCTGTATTTAATTTTTTCCTAATCACATATTTCAGTTTAAATACTTGTGCTATTGGGACATAAAAATTAACATGGGGGTACTTTTTAAAGTTTTGTTTACTAAATAAAGTCAAATAAACATGCTAAATCAGATCATGCTCTATTTAGGGCATTGGGAAAATTTTCCGGAAAATTTTTCCAGTTAAAATTTTTCCAGAAAACCCACATCTCTGCCTGAGGTATTGCAGGAACTGGCAGAGGAAATCTCAGGGCCCTTTGTGATGATGTTCATGAAGTCATGGGAGATGGGCCAGGTACCAGAAGACTGGAAAAGGGCCAGTTCAATGCCTGTCTTTAAAAAAGACAAGAAGGAGGATCCTTGGAACTACAGACCAGTTAGCCTCTCTTCAGTACCTGGGAAGTTACTAGAGCATGTCCTAATAATGGCCGTTTTGCAAGCATCTGGAGGAGGAAGGGCTGATTGCAAGCAGCCAAAATGGATTTATGAAAAACAAATTGTCAGGCAGATTTGATCTCCTTTTTTGATAAAGTAATGACCTGGATGGATGAAGGGGATACAGTGGAGATAGGTCTGTCTTGGGCCCAGTGCTGTTCAACATGTTTATTAATAAATTTGGATACTGGCATAGAAAGCTTCTTGAGAAAGTTGGCACATAACATGAAACTGGGAAGCATTGTGAGCATGCTGGAGAATGGGAGCACAGTTTCAGAAGGATCTTGACAAATGGGCTGGAACCTAACAGGAAGAATTTCAGTGCTGATAAATGCAAGGTGATACACTGTGGGAGGAATAATCAAAAATACAAATACAAAGTTGGTGACACCTGGCTGGATGGCAGCACTATGGAGAAGGATCTGGGACAAAAAGCAAATGTGGTTTTGGGATGCATCAATAGAAGCGTTGAATGCAGGATACAGGAAATGACAGTGCTGATGATAGGGGCTTGGAAAGCAAGTCATACGAGGAGAGGCTGAAGGAGCTAGGCATGTTCAGCTTGTAGAAAAGGAACTTGAGGGAACATGGTGGCAGTCTTCAAATACTTGAAAGGTTGCTGTAAAGAAGAGGGAGAAGACCTTTTTTTCTCTTGCTGCAGAGAATAGGACATGGACCAGTGGCTTGAAATTGCAGCAAAGTAAGTTTAGATTTGGATATCAGGAAAAATTTATTCACTATTAGAACAGCGAGGCAGTGCAATTGGTTAGCTAGGAAAGCTGTGGACTTGCCATCACTGGAGGTATTCAGGGGGAGGTTAGACAGCCATTGGTTGGGGATGATCTACGTGTAGCTATGCCTTTTTCTACTACAGGTATTTCTCATGCTTCTGATCTTTGGCATGGGGCTGGGATGGAATTCTGTTCCTCTCCCCCTTTTCTGTTATGTCAGGTTTTGGATTTTTGGTGGGTTTTTTTTTTTTGTTTTTTTTTTTTTTTAAAGCCTTTCTCCAAGGCATTGGGTATTGCCTGCAGCCCAGGCTGGGGATTTTGACTGGGGTGCGCTCCTGCTGTTACCTAAAGCTGGAATTTCCTGGCTAGAGGGTTTTGCCCCTCTATTCAGGGTCGGACTGATTACTATACTTAGGGTCAGGAAGGAATTTTACCCCATGGTCCGATTGGTATAATCTGTGGGGTTTTTGCCTTCCTCTGTAGTAGGGGGTGTCGCCCTCTTCTTAGGATCTGTTAAGCATCTGTTAACTTTTTACAGAAGCAGGACATTGGCTATCATCAGAGCTGACCCAAGCAGGGTGTGGTGCCCGGGGCAAATCAGCTTGTGCAGGGCCCCAACCCCACCCTGATCCCATGTGCCCTGGATGTGAAGAAGCCGCTGCTGCTGTCGGTGGTGGCGGGGGGGGAGGAGTGTAGCAAGAGGCCAGATGTGAAGCCAGCGGTGATGGTGCAGAGTTGTCGCGGCCACTCCACCTGGCTCCACGGGGCCCCCCAAAGCACAGGGCCCAGGACAGTCGCCCTGATTTGCTCCCACCCCAGGATGGCCCTGGCTATCATGGTCCCACTGCTTTCCCTGGGGCAGGTTAGGGTTTTAAGTCTTGTGTTGTGTTAGGGGTGTTGCTAGAATGTTAGATTATGGATTTGTGTAGGATGGTTTGGATAGGGATGATTGTGTCTCGGGCAGGGGGTTGGACTAGCAGACCTCTGGAGGTCCCTTCCAGCCTTACTACTCTATGATTCTATGATTTTATGATTCTATTTATTTTCCTTGAAACCCAGTTATCCCATAGAGGTTCTGTTATGGTTTCAGAATCGTATGTTTTGGTACATTATTGGCATCATAGAGAAGGTTCTTTAAACTACTTTTTAACAAGATCTCTATAGCCTGCTAATTCTACTTTGCCTTGAACAGCTTTGGAGAAGAATACTGGAGGTTAAATCTGAGCTCACTTGAATTTTCTGAAGTAGCTTTGGATTTATAAATGATACGTTGTTTGTAATGTGATTATTTAAAAATTGCAAATTTCCAGTTAATGGATTGGAGTGGGAGATTATGGAAACTTCTTTATCTGTATAATTTTGTTTGATTAAAACAAATTAATATGCCAATTTAGGGAAATTTAAAAAAAACCCATAAGAGTAAGCACATTTACAAGTCTGTTACAGAAGTTTATTGCTTAATATAGTTACTGCGTAACTAGATACAGAAACCTTTTGTTTGGGGCTCTGACTCCAAGAGGGTAATATTTATGCAGCCTGTATCCAGCAGCTTCCCCTGGATTGGTTGTTTTATCTCTCTTTTCTAATGAGGAAAGAAGATTTAATGTGAGAACTTTCAGTGCTATGAGTTAGAAGCAAATAAGCTTATCTGTTTAACTTGCAGTATGATGGAAGAGCTTTGCCAGCATTCATAGTCTTTTCAAGAGAAACTGAACTACTGACAGTTGCTTATTTTGTATAGTGCTGCTAAAATAATATGAATATTGCAGAATCACTGGGTCACTTTGGTACATGCTGTCAGAAAGTATGAGAGACTTAAATCTCACCAAAGGTATATTTTTTTTTTTTTAGCAAATATTGCTGCAGAACCTGGAAAAGAAGTCTTTAAGTCTGAATCGCTTTAAGCGTCTGTCATGTTTCTGTGCTTTCACCAGATATCGGTGGAAATGTAGTTTTTCAGCAGCTTGAAAATGCTTCCAAGTACTACTTACATTTATCATAATACTTATGTCTTTAGCGGATTTCAATCTGTTTACAGCCTCACATATTGTTATGGTGAAGGTGCTATTCACTTTAGCTTTTGATATTATATCTTTTACATTATTTACATTATAAATAATTTAGAATGTGATAGTACCTGGGGCCTGCAATCCTGGACAGAGCTGGATAGAAGTTTTGACATTAACATTTCCTACAACCATTATTTATTCAAACCAAACTTTTTCACAGAATCATCAGTTTTGTTAAATTCGGCCGGGAAGGTTTCTGAGGTGGAGACTCACTCCCCCACAGACAGCAGCCTGGTCCTGAGGGTAGTCAGCTGTCATGTGGGAGGTCCAGATTCAAATCCTTGCTCTGAATCAGGCTGTAGGGAATTTGAAGTATGGTCTCTCACATTCCAGGTGAGCTTTCTGACCACCCCCAGTGCTATTGGCAGTTCTGGTCAGTCTGTCTGCTTGGTTCTTTTTCTTTACATAATATAGTAAAGCCAGATGTCAAAATCACAAGTGTGTGTGTGCATGCTACAAATCAGTCTGGCACCCTCCCTGTGTGCCATTCCAATCTCCTTCCCTTGCCTGATATCCTGCTTGGTTTTTTGGTTGTAGCTGTGTTGGTCTAAGGACTTACTCAGGCAAGGTTCTTTTGAGTAGATGTGATATCTTTTATTAGACCAACTGAGTAATTGGGGAAAAAATGTTATTTGCAAGCTTTTGGGCACAATCACCCTTCTTCAGGTGTAGGAAGTCTCTGCTGTTCTAAGACCCAGCAATATGGAAGATATCAAATTTTGCCCTTTGAAATGGAAACTTCACAGCACGAAGGAAAAAGAAGCTAACCTCAACAGCAACCACACTTTTAGCTTCTTTTATTCCTTGGAGTCTCAGAACAGCAGAGACTGCCTGTGCCTGAAGAAGGGTGATTGTGCCTGAAAACTTGCAAAGAATTTTTTTCCAACTACTCAGTTGGTCTAATAAAAGATATCACATTTACCCAAAGAACCTTACCTGATGTGCTACTTTGCCTTCTGCTCCCTCCCCTGTCTGCTGCTTTGCTTGTTGCCCCCCCTGTGACCTGTCATGTGCCATACACAGAAGCTGCCTGTGCCACTTGTGGTACCTATGCCACAGGCTGGACATCCTTGAATGTTTGCCTCTGCTTCAAAGAGCTCAGATGATGTGCAGTTCTCCTCTCCCCTTCACCCCCATCCTTTACATATTAGCAGCTTAATTTGTACAGTAGTCTGGTCATACTGTATTTTCTTTCTTTTTTTCATCAGTGAAACAAAGAGACTGGAATTGGAAAGAAAACTGTTTGAATATAGCAGATCTGATGTATGCAGGTAAACCTCTTACAATACTTGTTCTGCATGTTTATTTTAGAAATGTAGAGTTAATGGGACATTTAAAAACATCATATTGTAGATTTTGTCAGCATTCAAAATATTCATGCTTTCAGTGTAATATAAAGTCTAATTCAGTGCCTCCTGTTTTAGTATAAAGTTGATGCAAAATACATTGACTTTTTACTAAACTATAATATGCCCTTTTTTACTTTGCATTATCACTGAAGCTCCTTGCAATGCTTGTAACAAACACTACATGAATCTGTGTTTTAGCAAGAGAGACTACTTTACTCCAAGCTGGGTTATACAAGGAAACCTCAGGCAGTTGCCATGAAAGATAACCACTCTGAGCACAGAATACTGCCTCTTGGCTTTTATAACCCCCTAAAATAAAACCCAAACCTTACAACCAAATGCCTGAAGGAGTCTTAGATTTCGGTTCCTTCTGTGCGGGCCGGGAGCGACCCGAGCCCTTTTCGCGCTGCACGCGGGCTGTGTCCAGCAGCCCGGGCACGCCGGGGCGGAGAGGGAAGGCCTTCGAGCTGGAATTAGGCACGGACGCGTAGCGGTAGTTTAAAAGTTTGTTTACTTACACCAAGATGGCAGTGGTGTAGGCTGGAAAACTTGCTTAAGTTGCGGTTACAGAGAGAAAAGAAAACAAAACTCGAACCTGCAGGGCACGAGGGTATGTCGCATAGGGTTCCGGCGACGGGAAGATGAAAATACGAGGGTACGTCGCAAAGGGTTTCGGCGACGGGAAAGTAAACCTGCAGGACTCGAACCCGGGTAGAAGAGCTCTGGAGTCGTCCGGCAAGGACTCACACGAAGTTTGCTAGGCTCCGTGGGTCCTTCTGCTACATGAAGTTTGCTAGGCTCCGTGGGTCTGGTTCGTAGTGCGCGGGAGGGATACGTCTAGGAATCTATCGGCGACGGGGAGAGGCTAGAGGCTGATCAGACCTCCGTTGCCTGCTTGAAATGCGCTGGGTCTGTAAGGATCCGCAGCGCTTAGAGATCTTCACACAGCGTCAATAATGGGACTCAAATTAGCATACAAATGGCGGGAACTCTTTGCAACGAGCATTTCTGTGCTGCAACAAAGAAATGCACCCTGCAAAGAAAGCTTCAAATTGGCGGGAAATTCTCCCTTGCACCGGGGGTTCTCTTTTGCAGCAGAAAACTCCACCGTGCAAAGAAGCTGCAATTTAGCGGGGACAATTTAGCAGTGCCGAAGCACACACAAAAACAAAAATCACACCCTTTGGGTTGTGACACCTTCTCCTGTGTTTCTTTCTCAGCCAGTGACTAAGCAGTCCTGGGGGGAAGGGACTGGAACGCAGGACTTACCCTGCTGAAATAAGTGTCATGTCCATTAGGTTACTGAATCATGCTCTGCACTCCCTTTTCCTCCAGTGGATCTTGACGTCTTGGCCTAACATCAAGAGAATGGCTAGAAATAGGTTGACCACCTTTTACAAATTGGAAGGTGGAACACATGTCTGCTGCCTGCCTCCCCGACTCCCCACTGCAGCATGGCCAGAGCAGAGATGAGTAGAGCCTTTGGAGGGGTTGGGAGCAGATGTGAGCTGTCTGCTGTGGGCTTGGGGCTCCCTGCCCTGCTTGTCTGCCCCTGGGAGCCTTGTGCCAGGTGTGCTGCCATGGCGTGACACTCCCTGCCTGCCCAGCAGCAGCGAGGGGCACAACTCCGTATTGCTGTTGCCAGGTGGACGGGGTGCCTCACCATGATGACACAGCTGGCATGAGGCTCCCAAGGGCAGAACAGCAGGGTGGAGAGCCCTGAACCCTGATCCTGCCCTGCCCCATGTAAAAATCTGGGGGGCACATGGGCTCCCCATATCCCCTTCCCTGGGAATGAGTGCAGTGGTGGGGAGCTATACCCCCACCCCTAACCCCCCCAGCCTGTGGCTCCATCCTGCTCCCTGGCGGGGCGCTGCAGCCACGTACCTGCCTGGGCCCCATGCACCACTGTGACTGGGCAGCATCCCCAGTCCTAGCCCTCAACCCTGCCCTACTCCCTCCCTCACTGTAGGGGCCTCAATCTGTCCACCTCCCCCCAACCCCCATAGACTTACCTGCAGGCAGCTGGGGGAGCTGCTCTCCACTGCTGCCTGGAGCTGGATTTCTGGCCATGTGCATGTGTGCGCATGCATACATGCATGTGGTGCCCTCAGCACCCTGCTCCCCTCAGCCCCTTGCAGGCTGGAACTCTGCCAGACTTCAAGAAGAAACTTATAGTTTCCCATAGTGAAACCTGGGTCCCTGCACGATACTGTGAATCTGGGACAAATACTGTCCTGGAGTCATGAAGCCTGGGACTAGGACTTGAGGTTCCTATTTTGTGACTGCCCCACCCAATTAGGGATGGGTGGTCAACCTAGCTGGAATGTACCCTGACCCAGACTACTCTATCAGGCCATATTTATGAGAGGTGGGGGAGGAGGGCATAAACCCCTTAATTGTCAGGAGGAAGTAGAATCCACATCTTCCATTAGGTTATTGTATAAAACACAAAGTTCTTCTTTCTCCTCCTCTTTTTCTTCCAGCTTTTCTTTAAAACAAACAAGTGTTACCTGCTCAGTACCTAAAAGAATGACTATAGATGTCTGTCCCCAGGAGAGGATTTAAGGGTACAGATCCTAAGTGGACAATGGTACTTTCCTGAACCCCTGAGTCAGATCCCTAAGCTCAGGGAAGGGGTTAGATTTTAGACACACCCTGCTCTCATCATTTCCTGTTGGTTTGTTCTACATCATTCCCTTCTTGGAGTGTGAATTAGGTCCTATTTGGAGCAGATGAACTCTCCCCATGCTCTGCTGAGGGAGATAGAGGCAAGGCACTGCAATGTTATCTTGTAGGTGCAAAATCTTTTCTCAGTTCTTCTCCCTTGAAGAGGACCCATATACTGGAAAAATGAAAACCAAGAGTAAATGTCTGAAGAGACAGGGGAAAATCCATATGTTTAAGTTCTGCATGCTGTTTTCTTTCTCTTGTTTTCAGTCTGATACGAATTTTGATAAGCCTGAACTTTTGATATTCCTGTTTGTATAGCTGTCATTTAAAACCACCTTTTCTTACAAATACAGCTACCCATTTTTACTGTAGTCTTAAATTCATTAACTTTCTAAATTGCAACCTTTTTTTAGAAGTCAAGGGCCCGTTGTTTTGTTAATCCACTAATGTCCTTTTGAAACCAATTTTAATTCCATATTTAAATCTGACTCGCATAGATGTAGTATTTTGTTAGTTTTATAGTGTAGCCTTGAACAAATTGCTTAAGACATTCATACTTTTACTATGCATACCTTTTAGCTGAAAAGGAGTAATACAGAATACTGTGCTATCATTCTTTTAAATATTTGATTTAAACTGATATATACGTGGTATATTTGACACAGTGAAAAGTGTTAATTCCTCCCTCTCCCTCCCATCTTTCCTTAAAGAGCTAAACTGAAATATGCAAAGCTCAAAAAATACTTGAAAGAGATCTGTGAACGGCAAAAGAATGCTATTCTGCGAAACCAGGAGCTTTTAAAAGAGTTTGATCATATTGAAGCTCGTTTTAGGACCTTTCCAAGTTCAGAGAGACTTCAGAAATTGAAGGTAATATTTTGTTAAAATATTCTACTGCAGCAGTTATCATACTATAGGGAATGCCAGTTGGACTTTGGCAATGTGTTTACATCAAGATTTCAGATGGTGTTGAATGTTGTTCTGGAATGTTTAATGTTTGTGTTTTTGTGAGTAGGGAAAATTGAAATGAGCTGACAAATGACCTTTTGGACTAAACAGCAGCCAGATGGGTGCCATGTGCCTTTATTTCTGTTGGGAACAAGGGGAATTTAGGCAAATAAGCACATAGCAGGATTGTGCCATTTGTTTGCATTAATACCATGGTTTATTTTTACCATTGAAAATATAAACTAAGTAGATGTGGTTATTCCAAGGCTATTTAAGTTGGAATTAAAAGGAAACTTTGGGAAGGTTATGAATAGGCTCAATAGCTCATTAGTTAAGTCACTTACCAACAGACCCAGGTTTTAGGCTTCCCTCACCCAAAGGGGGTTTAAAGCCTTTGTCTTCTGCTTCCCAGCAAAGCGCCCTAATAACTAGGCAATGGCTTTGTGTTGTCTCGAGTAGCCTCCACTCCTCCTATCGGAACTGGTGTGTTGGGCAGCGAACAGGGGAGTATGTGTGGCACCATGAAGGAGTACAAGCCAGAGAATGTCTTGCTCAGTGAGATGGATGATGCTCTGGATTCTAGCTTGGGCCCTTCTCCTAGTGGAACAGAAACTATTCCATTGCCATTGACGTGTTTTACCCCATGGATATTAAATGCCAAGTGCAATGGGACAGCTTCCAGGGGAGGGCTGCGAGCAATTCGGGTAGTGCCTAGTTTGTTGCTTGCTTCCCACCCAACAAACTTGGGTGGGAAGCAGGAGACACAGGTTCAAACTCTGTGTGAGGCGGGTTAAAAGATGAGAGGACCCTCTTGTCTTCCACTACTACTTCACTTCTAGCAAGTCTGTGCACAGGGAGATCCTCTTTATCCAAGCTGTGTGCAAGTCCCAAAAAAGGCAGTTGGACTGATACGTATGTGTTACTTAGGTGTGTGTGTAGGGGGAGGGAGGGGGCGTAATTTAGAATTTAGCCTTTTCAGATTTGGGTTGCTGGACTGCTTCACCAGGTCACGTGCTCTGTACAGGAATGGAAAGTGACATGATAAGAACATCTTAACTCCAAATGGCCAGATTAAATGGAATCAGAAACCAGTAGAAGTTATAGCTACAGGCATAACTGGCATTAACAACTTTGGTTCAAAAGGAAAAAAATCAGGTGTGTTTTTGTTTCTTTGTCCAGTCACTGCTTCATTGCTGTTTCTAGAAGGTCTGGTTAGGCAAATGTTGCTGATCTTACCAAATGCAATGTAACCAAAGTATCTCAGTTTTATGGTAGGAAACATTTTCTCAGTATGAAGGAGACCACAAAAGTGATATGCAAGCCTGTTATTTTTTTTATTTTTAACAAATTATAGGCACTGAATGTGTAACGTGCAGCACAAAATTAGCTTTCTCTTTCTTGTTCCCCTGGCTAGTGACACTACGATCAATAGCTTTTTCTTGGGAATGGTCATTCTGTCTTACAAGAAAGTTCGTTCTTATTTGATCCCATGAAACTCAGATCTTGCTATTCATTTTATAAAGGCAGATAAAGTTGCAGTTTGAAATATAGGCTGATATAGCAGCTGTGCCCCCAAATTTAGTGTTTTTGTTCAGCAGTATCTTATTACAGAAAGAAAAATTTAATCTTTTTGTTCAGCAGTATCTTATTACAGAAAGAGCTGCCATACAGATCCTCTGGCCTAAAAACTGTTTTCCTCTCCTTTTGATAAGAGTATGCGAGATACACTGTGAACATTTAATTATGGTAGCTAGAAATGAAATTGTTAGTAAGTAGAAATTTCTAATCACCCTTCTGTTTGGATCTTTTTCATGGTATTAGAATTTAAAATTAAAATAGCAATGAATTACCTTATGCCTTACCTTTAATGCAGCAATAACTAGCATACAAATATTTATTTACTTCTTTTTTTTCTGAATTGTTTGAAAGAAATTGGATCAAAACTGTAAAAGAAATTCACTGTACTTATGAGAGAGAACATTTTAAATGTCTGTTATTGAAAAGACTTATTTTTACAAAATGGCAACTTTGGGGCTAAAGTACCTTCAGATTCTAAATAGGCCAGTAAACGTAACAATTATATGCTGTTGAAATTTTTGATTTTGTACCGTTGCTTGTACTTTGTCTCAATGATCACTAAGCAGCACTTCTGAAAATTTGAAATTCTAGTAAGAGTCTTGGATTAAAAAAAATTGTGCTACTTTAAATATTTGATATATTAAAACGCACTCATAGAACACTTGTTGATGTATAACTATATTTGGCTTTTTAAAGAAAACTTCCCATTTTCTATGCGAGTTAGATGCATGTTTTGAAAAAATTTCATCGAAATACCCAAATATTTTCTTAGAAAAACAATTTAGGTAGAAGCCTTTAGAACAGTCCATATCACATAACATTAACATAGTGGTTACATTTTAGTGGAATCATATCTAATATATGCCCTGTCATGATCAGTGGGGCATATTCAATTATGTTTCTAAATCAGCACCTGGAGCTGGTAACCTGTTTTTCCACCTTTAGTTATGCTACTGATTCTTCTACCTTTTTTGAAATATAGCTTCCTTAAATGAAACAAAAGACTAACACTTCAAAATATAGCAAAGCTTTTGCTGTTCAAGAACTAATACAATCTGATTCAAGTATGCCTTTACAAGATTTTGGTCTTACAAACCAAAATTTAAAAGAAGTGGGAAGGGGGAGAGAAGCTTCTTAAATAGGTTTCTGTGTCCATGTTCTGGACCCCCAGTAAATTTCTCAGTTCTGAAAAATCAACAAACATTTGGCAGTTTCCAGGGGGTCAGTAGACTTAGCTGAAAGAGCAGAGGGTGCAGGAAGACTAAGATCCAGAGTTGGGAGCAAATGGAGAGAAGTAAGAGGCCCATGTCTTTGTTTGGGGGAAAAAGCGGGCATCTCTGAGGCATTGGGGAAGAGACAAGACTGCGAGTATAATGTAAACAGAAGATAAATAAAAAGGAAGGAGAAAGTAAGTGTGAAATTACAAGGAAGAATGAGAAAAGGCAACAAAGAGAAGCATAAGGAACTGAACAAGGCAAAAAATAGAAACATATTTTAAAATACTTTTTTAGGTCTCTCCTTCGCAGCTGCTCCAAAATCCTATGTGAGGCATGTTGGAGCCCCACAGTTCATTTGCTTAGTGTGTCTTTATTCCCCCTAGTATTTGTTGCTGAAAATCAGAATAATTTTGAATTGGTAACCCAAGTCATCTGGATTGCTCTGAAGGGGTATGCCAGGAAAGCTTAAACTGCTATAAAGCATCGTTATCTTTTATCTTTTGCACCTGTGAGCAGGTACAAAAGGCTCATCTGGCGTGTTTTATATACCCTATACAAACGGTTCAACTTGCTTCCACCTGACAAAGTTAGGATTATACCTTCTCCCACAGATTGTATTCGGCAGCTGGTGCAGCCTTTCATAGGTACAGTGACAGTAGGCAGGTTGCCAGCAGCCCACAGACCTATGGATAATAGGGGCCTATTATCTGGAAGCAGGGGGAAAATGGCCCTTTTGCCATGGTATATTACTGTGGCCTTACACAGGGACATGAAAATTGGCATATGGGGTCAAATTTCTGATCCATCTAGCACTGCCCTGTCTCTGATTGGTTAGTGCCATCTTTTCAGAGTAAGATGCAAACAACCACTTCTGGAAGCAGTAATGAGATGCACACCCCTACAGAATATTACTTCTTACCTGCTACAGTTTGAAGTGGGTTTGATCTAAAACTTAAGGGCTTTTATCCCTTCTGAAAGGTTTGTGTTTTTCAGTGTCTGTTCAGTGTTTTTTGGTTTTTCTGGATATTTGTTACCTATCTGTCCAATCCTTTTTGGATCCTGCTAAACCCTTGGCCCTGATGCTAAAATGTGGCAGAGAGTGGGGAAAATTTCTTTTTTTTTTTCAGTTTAAAATGTGTTGCTTTTCATTTCCTTCACTGTCCCTTTGTTTTTGCATTTCTAGAAAGGATGATCTGCCTCCTTGATGCTAGTTCTTGTAATAGTCCCAATCTGTTCATTGTTTAAGTGGAAGTTTTTCATGCCTCTAATAACTTTTATTGCCTGCTTTGGAATGCAGTTTATTTTTATATAATTTTTGAGATGGTCTGATCAGAACTCTTCATGCTGATGACATTTTTTTGAGATAGTAATACCGTTGCAATTTAATTTCTTACTTTAAAGGTAATTTTCTTGGTGCCTGTTACTTTATATTGTAGAATGAATAATTTTCCAGTCCTAGTGGCTGATTTACTGATGTACTAAATTTTTCAGAGGTAAGGAGGGTCTTTGGAGTAGATATAAAATGTGCCTGTAGGTGGTAATGATTTCCACTGTAATACCCCAGTGACCAAGTAAATGTCTTATGCCTGCATGGTCATTCTGATAAAGTGATCTCGTAGCTACCTCTGGCTAGCGTCTAGTAATTTTTAAAGCCTGGTGCTTGTAGTAGCATCGGTAAAACATCCTTTCCCTACCTATACGCAGCTTTGTTAGCAGTGCCCTATATTCCACCTATGTATTGCTATGTATGGTATCTTGTGGCACATGCTGGGTTTGTAGCATTTTGCATAAAGTTGCTTATCTTGTACTTCTGTAGAGCGGAACTGTAACAGTTCCACCTGGCTGGTTGTATGCACGTGTGGGAGGGGCAGAGAAGTGACGCACCTATGTTTACAGATACTCTGCAGCTTGGTCCTTCATTCAACATTGGTAGCATTTAGTCCAGAGTTTGTGTTCATATCATAACATGCATCAGGTTTTTACAGATTTATTTTATATTTTTAAAATGAGACCTATATGCATGCCAGTTTAACCTTCTCTCTGTAGAAAGACATTTTAAATGCATTGATCTGGGCCATTACTGTTTTATATGCTAATATGCACGTGAAGTTTTTCAGTATTCCTGTTCAGAATCGTATACAATCAATTAATTTTTCTGGATTGAAGCCATTTTAACTCAGCTTGTTGAGCAAAGCAGAGGTCATAAACCCTTCCTGCTAAGTTGAAAAAATGAAACCACTGTCTGATTTTCTGTTTATTGCAGTTATCATTAAAATTTAGTCTGGCACGTAGGTATGCAAGCGCAGATTAAGTTGTTAGAATTTTAATGTTTTTTAGTGGAGAAGAGAATACTTTCAGGAACTATGTTTTCTTAAACCTATATACAGTATATTAGGATTGTTGACAACATCTTTTAAATTGTATCCAGGTTTTGTGTGTGGTTATGCACTTTGTTCATTAATTGCTGAAATCATAGCCAAAATTTAAGCTTCTGAATGTAAAATACTTATGTAGCATATAGTCCTTTGTTCTTAAATAATACTGTTTCATATTTTATGAACAAGTCTCGTACGTGGAAAATAACATGTTCCCTGTATGTAAGTTAGAAACTGAAGTACAGAGCTGTCAAAGTTAATTATTTTTCAGATTGATTTCTCGTTGTATATTACCTGATTCAGACTATCTAGTGAAGTACATCCATTCAGTACCAGTGTAATCTGTTTTTAAGGTTTACAATTACTCACAAAGTACTAATTATAGGTGCGGTATATGCTTAGCTTTTAAGCAGTAGTCTTTTTATGACTGCATTACATTTGGTCAATTAAACAATGTAGTGGAGGTGAGGACATTTTTATGCAGTTGTTTGTTAGCAACACTAGACCAAGTTGCTTTTTTCATGCTATGTTGCTCTTTATAACATCTGCTCTATATTCTCTTCTTGGAATGGCTCAGTTAGGCTGTAAGGTGACATGTATAAGAAATAAAAAAAGTCTAAAGGTTGAATTTGGTTGCTAAGTTATTATGTAGATATACTTCCAAATTATTTTGGCTGTAATAACGCATTATAAAAACACAGGCGTCAACAAGTTGTTATTACTGTGCAGGCTCTTAAAATAAGTGAACAAATATAAATGAAAAGCCACAGAAAACAACCTACAAATCATGTGCTTTTGTTTTGCATGGAAATTAAAATAGATTATGAAGAAAAATGGGGTCTCAAGATGTTTTCTTATGAGATGTTATAAATATTTTTATTTTCCTCAGGTAAGATTATTTTCTAATTATCCAGTATTATTGTGACCTTAATTTCTTTGATTACCAAGAATATTGTATGGTATAATTGTCTGTTGCTTTTTATGTCTACACTTGTATAATATATGTAAATATTTACATAATAGGTTTCTTTTTGTTTAGGTACAAAATGAAAAAGAAATTAACAGTACGCTGATACTTGACAAGAACAACATGTTGATAAAAGGTGACAAGAAAGAAGGTAACAATAAGCAGGTAATGGAGAATAGTAGAGACTATACATATATTGTTACTCTAAGAACACTTATGAGTTTTCCTACAAGATGTTAGGTACTGTTTAGTAAATGGCTGTTGTAAAAAAAAAAAAAAAAAAAAAAAAAAATCTGTGCAATTGTTACCATAATATATGACGTGTTGCTTAAACACTGTAATGTAATTCTTTTAATTAATCTTCTTAATTTGATTGTTAAAGATACAAAAGACCTTGATGGAATGGGGGGGGAGTGTATATATTTGTCTGTTTATATGGCATTTTTATATTCTAATATCAAAACAGTCTTAAACTGAAAAAGTATTCTTAATGAAAGGTATACACAGTGTGATAATTGATTCATAAGTTGTATTTATAATTTTGTACATTTTGACCTTTTCTTAAAAGAAGCAAAAAGAGATTACATATCTAAGCGACAGACAAAAAGACTGACAACGAATACTTAAATATATTCTGCTATATATCTGCAGTAATGCAGGCTTCTAATCCCTCCTCGTATCTCCATATAAATGATACAGTTCAAGACCATAGCTGTTTTCTTCACTAAAAGCAGTAAAGCTCTTTTAGATGAAATGTCTAAAAACATCTTGTAATAACTTGGAGCATGCTGGCAAGAGTAGTCACTTGTGACTATGTGTGAAACCCCCTCAGCTAGTCGATATTGTAATAAGCAAAAATGGTAGCATCACTCCATTATTCAGAAAAGCCAACAGCATGCTTGTCCCTTAGGCTACAGCATTCATTAAGAAAAGCTTACTGGGCTGAAAGCTGGAAACAGATGATAACGGGATATGATTTTCATATTTAATGCATTCCTTGGAAGAGTATGTGTGCTGCAGATTGATAGAAGAATCAACTGCTACTTTACTAAAAGACTTTCTAGTTTGCCCTATAGCTACCGATGGAATCATTCAGCCAAGAAATTAACTTTTTCTCCTTTTACCTGCTTTATATATCTGCTAAGCAGGCTGCCTGGCTGCCAGTAAATGTTATTATGCAGTTAACTGTTTGGTATTTAAGACTCTTATCAGAAAAGAAACAGAGGCCACACTATTTTGTTTTTATAGTAGGAGGAAGGTTTTCGTTTTTCTTTCTTCAGTGCATTAGCAGGCGCTAATCTGAGTTTATAGGAAGTTTTCCCCCATAGATTAAAAAGTTAAAAACCTTGAATTTAGAGTATTCTTTAAACTGTAATATATAAAGCAATGAACCCCAGCAACCTTGACCTATATAAGCAGGCCTTCAGCAATGCATGAATAACTTTCTGTCTAGATGTATGTGAAAAAGTATGAAGTTAGAGTTTGGAAATACTGAAATTTTATGTTTTTAATTTTAAAAACATTTGGTTTAAAACAGTTTTCTTGGGAGCCAGTTTCTAAGCTATAGAAAACAATTATGTTGCATTGCTGTTCTTCTTGCATAAATACCAGGAAAACACTATTGTTGTGGTGCTTAAATACATGTTTTTATTGAAAAATATTGATGCATTTTGTTTAACACTAGGAATTCTACTCTGCCCCCAGATTTGTCAATTTATAATGTACTAAAATTATAGCTTAAAATTGGGGAAGACTTTTTTTTTCTTTTTGAAAAGCAAAGATTGCTCCTTTAAATTATATCGTGGACTGTGATGGCTAGAGAGAGATGTGAGTTTATCTTAGATAGGATAGCTAGGGCCTATTAGTACAAATTAAAATAGGCTATCTATTGTAATTCTGATTTTTAAGGATTTTATAACACAGCTCTTTTTAATTTGGCACAGTTTTTCAGACTAATTGTGTGTACCTTTTCTCTTCCTAAGTTTACTTGAAATCTTTATATAGCAGAATTAAACAGAACTTGAAATTCATTCTGCTGGCTGGAACAGATGCAATATTATCAGCACCACTTAAGTCTTGCAATGGGATGGTGCAATGGTTGTGGTGTATTGGCCACACTGTCTTGCTCTGTGAAAGGTGGCTGGCACAGAGGATGGTGCTGTTGGTTGGAGGATCTAGGGAATCTGCCTTGACATGCATCTCACAACCTTAAATACCCACGTAAGTTTTGCAGAAGGCTACGCAAACAACTTCAACTTACAGGCTGAAGTGGCAGCCAGAGGGCAGCTACATTAGAGCATTGCACACTGACCCAAGATAAGAAATAAATATCCAAAAAACCCCAAAACAAAACTAATTTTACCTCTGCTGCATATGTTATGTGCATTTATTGGATTATATGGCTTGCATCTCAGCTGTTGCCTTTTGGATCACCTAGAATGACAGTGAAAATACAGTGGTGTCAAAAATGATAGCCTAATCCTACCCTGCTTTGGATTTCCATACAGGTTTTGCCTGGTTGAGTATTACAGGATCATAGGTGGTATGGCATTATTTCTGTACAAAAAAACCAAAGAAGAGAAGGAACACATTTGTTCAAGTCTTGCTAAAACTGTAAAGCAAGTTGTTGCAATTTAGACCAGCATCTCCAATTGTGATAATGTCTAATTTTGTTTTAATCCAGTTGTATCTAATTTTAAATTAATTCCCTAAATTATGTGCACTTATTTCTTACCTGTTGTGTTTTTTTTTAATTGAATAAAGTGTACCGTTAGGATGTTATGGAGAAGTAAACATCACAGCTCACTGAATAATCTGGAAAATGCAGGAAGGAGGGATCACTCTATTAATTAATGTGTTCAAAAAGGCTTATTTAGAAGCTTAGGGATGATGAAGCGGGATGCAAAAGGAAAGTATATGAATGTCCTGTCTGTTTCACAGACTTACTTGAGAAAATGTACTTGGCAGTAGAGACTTATAAATATTTTTAGGCAATATTTTCACGCACATTTGAGTGAAAGAAAAAACAAATCTTTTAGCTAAAAACGGTGTTTACAAATGTTACTTAACTTGCTGTTAATGACCCCAGCTCTTGACTAAATCCCAGTCTAAATGGTGATGGAGTGTGGACTTCAGAGTTTAGTAAAACTGGAGTAAAGGCATAGGGAAGCCATAATATATTTGAACTGCAGTAGCACTTTCCCCTAAGAGGCTTCCATGTTACCTTCTGATGAGAGAAAACCAGCTAATACATATTTCAGTGTTTTCATAACTATGTTGTTAACTAGCAATTTTTTCATAGTATTTGCATTGGCATGATTATTTTTTTGATTTTTATTGTGATTTTTTTTTTCCCCCTCTCTCACTAAAAGGTGCTTATATGATGGAGGAGTGGAATGGGAGTTGGTTCTGTCTTTGCAAGTGGGGGATAGTGTCTGGCCCTCAACATGTTTTGTTTTTTTTGGTAGATTAGCATGTGGCTATCTATGTCTTTATTAAGTCATAGGAAATGTATCTGTTTTATTTAATTTTTCCAATTTTGTGTATATCAGCTGCTTTCTCAATATGTTATACAACATATTTTTAGGGAATCCACACATTTCTTCCCTAGCTAGTAAGGGGGGGGTTTGTTGTTGATAAAATAAAATAGACAAAATCCATTCCCTCGATCCCTATGATGATATGGGGAATCTGTCTGTGTACAGCTATGAATTTTGATTGATATTGGGGGCCTCTCTATGTATATCTCTGTCAGACTGCAAACTCCTTTTGAATGAGAGACTTATCACCTGCTTCTCTTATCTTTTATACCTTCATGTTGGACTGAAATTCCAAAAGCGGGGATGCACACAAAGGTAAAAATAAAGGGTCATTAATCTTGATGGTCCTCTCATCACATAGAAGTCCCTAGGGTGAACAGTTGTCTGCTGCCCAGGGCAAGCCATTTTTTTCAAGTCTGAACTCCAGGAGATAGCTAAACTGGAGATCACTTAGCAGGGGACATTGATCATCTGATAAGGCAGATCATGGGGTCAACTGACAAGGAGGACTGGAGATTATTAAAAAGAGGATATCTCTGTTCTAGTCAGTCGGTGCAATCCGTACTGACTGTAGAGGTCAGTGGGAGAGGGAAAACTTGGGCAGGAAGACAGAAGGGAACTGACTGTTCAGGGAGGAGAGAGATTCCATATTCCAAAAGAAAGGCCATGTGCGGAGGGCATGGGAGGAGGTGGCTTTTGGGCTCCTTAGACCTTGACCTATGCCCAAGGCTGCCTTGAGAGGGATGACAAGGTTGAGGAAGGGACGTGTGCTGGCAATATTTTATTTTGTCTAGATGTGTATATTTCTTTTGGTAGCTAAGGTGAAGAGTAATTGCTTGTGTAGCCCTTAACAATTCTGGCTCTCTCGCTTTCAACTATCACCCATAACACTGGAGCTCTGGGAAAGGGTTTATTTGGTGGGAGGTTATAGGGCTTGTAGTTGTGGCTGTAGGGCTTAAGATGGTTGGGCCACAGGCTCTTATTTCAGTGAAGGAGGGGCAACAGAAAAGTTATGAAAAAGTATAGCCAGAGAGGAACAAGAGATTGACTGGAGCCTGCTAGGACTCAAACGGCAGCAGGGGAAGTCTCAGCAGGGCTGTGGCATCCACACAAAGTACTTCTTATCTTGTCCATAAAATAAACAAGGAAAACTGTATCCACTGTGTTTTGAATTTTCTTCCTTTGAATATTCCTTTTCAACTGCAGTAGCTCTGCCTTTCCTTTGCACATATTAGTTAGGTGCTTGATATTGTTTCCTAGCTTCCAGTCCATATATACCAGGCATCCTGCATCTTACGCACATTTAACTTGCACAAATTCAACTATACGTGTGTGGGGAGGGGGGCGGGGCTTGAGTCTGCTGACTGGCCGCTGGGTATGGTGGTGGCCGGGCGGCACACAGCCATCCCCACCACCACCCTGCACTGCGCTGCTGCCACCGGCCGCATGGTTCTAAGTGTGGCTCCATGGCAGCGGCGGGAGGTTTTAGAGGCAGAGGCAGTCACCGCTGGCATGGTAATATGCGATTTCACTGTACGTGATTTTTGCCTTTACGCGCTGCCTTTAGAACGTAACCCCTGCGTAAGATGCGGGATGCCTGTACAACATTTTAGTTTGTACTTAGCC